AGTGATCACAGATTTTATGTGGTATAGATGCTGGCATAACGGTTTTTGCCTAGGTACGCGTCTATAGTTTTGAAATGGACTGTAGTGTCCATGCGTGCACATGCACTGTGCGAGTAGGTTGGAATCTGTATCACCCACTATCCAGCACCAAGGCTCGCGGATGAGCAGAAATGTAGCGATTAATTAACTTAGTCCCAACTTAGAAGTTTGGACTTCGGCGGTATTAGTCATGAAGTTGGTTGTTCCAACGAGGAACACACACTTCTTGTCGAACTTGACACTTGACTGATTCATGACTGCCACCCGGAGCACACGAGAAGCACGCACCTTCCACTCGGCAAACCTGCAAGAAAGCACCACTCCCTCCTCAATACACAGTGTTTCGGGGAATTCACCCCTCACCAGTTGAGCTTGAGTAGGCTGAGGAGGTTTGTGCCTGAAAAGCACCACTTGGGAGTGGTGCTTTCTTCCAGGTTTGCCGAGTGGAAGGTGCGACGTGCTCCTCGTGTGCTCCGGACGGCAGCGGTGAGTCAATCAAGTGTCAAGTTTGGCAAGAAGCGTGTGTTCCTCGTTCGAACAACCAACTCGAATCTTCATGACTTCATGACGCAGAGTAGAAAACTAGCACGGTACAATCAAAGAATCACGCGAAATGAAAGCAGAACTGTAGCCAAAAGTCTCTCATTACAATCTGCGACCCCGCTTTGGAACGACTTTTTTGCTGACTTGATTTTCAGCTTTGTAACTCCAAACACACGCAACAGAACGCTTCAGTGTTTGTTCTGGTAAACAGATGGGAGTTTTTCGATTATCCTGTTAGGCCATACTTTTTTTTATTTCTATGTTTCTCGTCACCCGAAAATCTAAAATCGTATGCGAGAGACGGAAAAAAATAAAAAATGATAGACCTTTGGTCATACTAAAATTGACCTATACACCGTGTGAAATAGCATCCAAAGTTAGCAACTAGTACGTGGTAGGAGTGTGGGAGAACTGGAGCTGTCTAGCCTCTCTACCACCCCTCTTCGCCCAACACAACACACCAGCGCAAACGACAGCCTCTTGGTGGAAATGTATGAATCACGAAAAATGCAAGTTGGCAATGGAGAGAGAACAAGAAAAGAACCACAAGAACACAAAATCACGAGCACTTTGGCCAGGAAAAGACACGTCTAACATGGCATCCAACATGGCGGCAGAGCAACCGATAGGGGCCCGTAGTTTAATGAAAGTTTAGAATCGGATGGAGAGCCATAGATTAATTTATAGAAACGAAAAAGGTTGGAAGGCTGTTGGAGTGCGCATCCAAGATGTGCTAGAGCTTTTAGCCAGTTAGTCGTAGAACGTCAGTACCGTCGGTCAGTGTCGTGCAATGTTATCGCATGAGCTGATTATTTAGTAGCTGGTGGTGTTAGTGGACATTATGGCGTAACTTGTAGTTCCTTGGTCTTTTTTCGTTTCTATAAATAATGAAAGTTGTTTTGCGGTATCGTACTTGACCTTTGCATAATGGTGTGGGCTGTGCTCAAATGAACTCTTTGCTGTGTTTCTCGTGTGTTGTTGTGTGTATTGTACAGGTAGTATGTATAATATTCCAGTGTGTCTATGGCTGGATCATCAACATCCATACCGTGCACCCATCTGTATGGTGGAATCCACCAACAACGTTTATGTGAGGCGTGTGAAGAATGTGGACAGCGATGGCATGGTCAATCTTGCCTATCTACATGGGTGGATACCCGTATGTTCTGTGCTTGATAGCTGTTTCTCTCTCTTTCCTTCTCTGTCTCTCTGTCTCTCTCTCTGTCTCTCTCTGTCTCTCTCTCTGTCTCTCTCTGTCTCTCTCTCTGTCTCTCTGTCTCTGTCTCTCTGTCTCTCTCTCTGTCTCTCTCTGTCTCTCTCTCTCTGTCTCTCTGTCTCTGTCTCTCTCTCTCTCTCTCTCTCTCTCTCTCTCTCTCTCTCTCTCTCTCTCTCTCTCTCTCTCTCTCTCTCTCTCTCTCTCTCTCTCTCTCTCTCTCTCTCTCTCTCTCTCTCTCTCTCTCTCTCTCTCTCTCTCTCTCTCTCTCTCCTCTCTCTCTCTCTCTCTCTCTCTCTCTCTCTCTCTCTCTCTCTCTCTCTCTCTCTCTCTCTCTCTCTCTCTCTCTCTCTCTCTCTCTCTCTCTCTCTCTCTCTCTCTCTCTCTCTCTCTCTCTCTCTCTCTCTCTCTCTCTCTCTCTCTCTCTCTCTCTCTCTCTCTCTCTCAAGCCAGTTCGCGTTCAGCCCAGACGAAAGTTGGTTACGACTGACCTCCTGTCAGCGGCCTCAGACTGGAAACTTCTTGTCGACTCAGTTAGTGCAAAGATTTCTTTCCCTAGCTGTGTTGCACTTACCACCCTAAGACCAGATATAGTTCTGTACTCTACGAGTCGTAGGATTGTATTCTGGATGGAGTTGACAGTTTGTGCTGAGGACAGATTCAGTGTCAGTAACTCGCGGAAGGACAGGCGGTATGCGGATCTGGCCGATCAATGCCGAGCAAACGGGTGGCAGGTCGTTTCTTTTTCGGTTGAGGTAGGTGTGCGTGGTTTCATCCCGGACTCTCTTCGGAGGGCTCTGAAAGCGCTTGGGTTTTCTAATCGAAGAATAAAATTTATTTGTAATTTGTGCAGTAAGACGTCTCTGCGAAGCAGCTACATCATCTGGTTGCGACGTCAACAAAAACACTGGTCGGAAGATCCACTTTTCTGAGGTACTGTATGTGGGGCTCCGTTTATTGAGGTGCGTTGAAATTTATTCTCTTTATCTTATTATTTCTTTTCTATAATTTCCCCATATGAGTTCCTATCAGTTGCTGTGAACACCTTGAGTGGAGAGCGCTTGCTCGAGCGTTGAACCGGGTTCTTAATCCACCATACCCAGTTCGCAAGGCTGGGCGGGGTTGTGAGCAGGCTTTCATTTCATCTTTTCTTATTATTTCTGCTTTTCATCTCATTACAAAAATTCTGCGCTTTTTCTCCATCTGCGCATAAAATCTAGACTGACAACCTGCTTGTTAAATCATGCACCTGCTTTCAGGCGTAAAAACCCTGTTGTACAGGTCTCAGTCCTCATTTGTTAGACTTACCTGTCTTTATAAATGTAACTTACTCTCTCTCTCTCTCTCTCTCTCTCATTCTCTTTCTCTCTCTCTCTCTCTCTCTCTCTCTCTCTCTCTCTCTCTCTCTCTCTCTCTCTCTCTCTCTCTCTCTCTCTCTCTCTCTCTCTCTCTCTCTCTCTCTCTCTCTCTCTCTCACTGGTATGACTCACACAGCACATTGGCCACTGCTGGTGCTGCGATCGTTGTCGGGCCCATGCTAAGAATGACATCATTTTGCTTGTGTCAAAGGGTTCTGTTCTGCTGTTGTCTCACGTACCAACCTAATGATGGCAAAAAGACACATTGTTGATTTACCGGGGACAAGAGTTTTTGTTTGATATTGTTGCAGTTCCGTGGAAGGGAGATGCACTCCCCCAGAGCATAACAAACTAGCCACGGATAACTCTTGCCCCACGGCAATGCCCGTACACTTCAATAGGTATGAAGTAGTCTTCTCCCCCTGGCCCCTGCCACACAACAACGCAAACTCTTGATTGTATCTTCAATACTTATATTATACCAAGAAATGACGAGGGCGCGGGAGGAGAGAGACAACTTGGAGACGACAAAAAGACAACGGGAAAGACTCCCGGGAAAAGACTCGAAGAAATAATAAACAACCAACAGTTATAAACAGAGAAAAGGGCGAACACATCGAAACGACCAATCAGGGACTAATACGTACAGAACACATGACCAAGACCAAGACAACCAGACCACGGACGAATCACACACGACTCTCATCCCAGACCAAACTGGCACTGCGCATGTACAGCATTCACTTGACAGTCACTCTCACACAGACGGAAGCAGATCCTCACACTCTGACAACGCGTACTCTTGCATGCACCACATACCATAGACGTCACACATCACACCATACTCGCGCGTACACCTAGACCATACATGACATCAGACACTGGACTCCACAAGACAAGAACCAAATACAACAACATGCGAAAATCATAGTCGTAATACAATTTCGCAACAGGTATGTGTGCGTGCGTGCCTGCCAACATGCGCATGTGTGCCGTTGCTTGCAACTGCTGCAGCTTAACTCCGATATCCTGGGCCTGATTCAAGCGATGCAGTATCAGTTTGGACGAGAATGTCCAGTGTACTCACGGTCAGCCAGTACCCATGCTGCTGGTGTTGCTGCCGGCCGTCCCGCACCTCAACCAAACAGTATCACAGCGCACCCCTCCACTGGCCCTCCGCGATCCCCACCGCCCGAGTGCCCAGCACGCGCATCGCATCCGGCTGATTCTGCTGCTGCTGCTGCTCAGGAGACGTCATGCCCCGGCTCTCAACCATACCCCAGTGAACCACCACCACCGTACCCTGGCCCGTCATCTTCTAATACCACGTCGGGGTCCTTGCTTGGTGCTGAGGGTTCCAGCAGTGAGGACACGCGCAGGAGAAGACTGCAGGCTACTATGGATGAGGCTACGGAGGTAAGTTTGCTTTAGTGGCGTTCTGAGCTGAGAGTCAAAACCCTGTAATCCATACTTGTCAAGTATCCCGGTTTTTTCGGGATTTTAATATCACGCATTTTTCGATGAACTCCCGAGATCCCGAAATTCTTATCAAAATGTAACAATTCTCGAAAAACCAGGGATTTTGCCCGGACGGTCCAGAAAAAGCACCCTCAGTTACTTAGAAGGCATGATAAGCGCCAACTTTGTGAAAATCAGATTTTCAGCTCATTGTACTCAAAAGGTCAATGGGTAGCAGCAGGCATAATTTCACTTTCAAAATCTCACTAGAACCATTTCAAAACTGGAACCCCAATACAGGTCCTCCCTCATTATAACGAGTCCGGTTAGTACATAAACCCCGTTAGTAAAATAATAGAAATCTGAAATCCCCTGGCGAAACGTGGTCTATACAACTGTTTACAGGTCCGGGTACAACATAATCCGTTAGTACATAAAATTCGTTACAGCGACCCTTTGCCCAGGTCCCTGGAGTGAGTGCCAAACCCTCAGTATAAGATAATACTGACCATGCAGGACCAAGGCCAAAACACGTAGGATAAAGCAGAAAGACGAAACGTAATATATCTATGTATTTGTGAATATGGACGATCCTTTGCATCCAAGGAAGAGTTATGTTGGAGATTTTCAATTATCTTATAACGAGTTGAAGCATCGCTAATTTATGTTGTATCGAGGGTAGCCCCGGTAAGTACGAAGTAGTGCCTATTTCACCTTAAGCTGCAAGTCCTGCTACAAGATAAGTCTCGTTATAAGATAACTTTTTCGATGGCCCAGAGACTATCTACTAACGAGGGAGGACCTGTATGGAGTTAATATAAGCCGCACATAAAATGAATCCGTTTTTTTGTCTGGAATCCGAAAAGTGATGAAATGGATTTAGCGGGTTTTGCATTCCAGCTCTGTGCATACTTCTCTGGGGAAAATCTGTACTTGGTCGGGTCTGTCGCGAACGCGATCGTAATTTCCATAATTATCACTTAGACATAAATTTGTAGTGCTAGAGCCTACTTTTTCTGACCTTGCCGCGCTCCTTCCATATTCTGAATGGCTATAGGCATGCGCAGTATGGTACGCGCGCATATTAGGCATGCGCGATCTTGGCCCGTATAAATTAGGCATGCGCGTTCCTAATCAGCCTCTCTTTTTTCTGATCACCAAGGTCATGAAGATTGACCTCGTGTTCTCATGGTTCTTGTGTGAACCCAAGTTTGCAGGCAGCTCGCCTTTTAGAGCACGATGTCATGAGTGGATTGTTTGTAGTGCAACTGGCATGGGTATTATTAGATGAGGGTAGTCGCATGGCGACAGGGTTCTCTTCTTGTGCATGACGTGGCTTGTAGGGCATAGTGTAGTGGACGGCTCCTTTCCAGAACAGTTTGACAGCAAGTAAATAGCGGACCCAAAGACTCATCACTGCAGGTTGTCACTGGGGGAAAAAAAGGTTTTATTCCCGTAGCAATGCAAAAGACGTTAGTTCAGTATCGTCAGGCGCTAGCCAGGGTCCACACAGCTTTAATTTCGTGATTGTTTGTTTGTTTTGTTTGTGCCATCGGCATACCTGACGATATCCCGTACCTGTCCCGTACCATACCATCAAGGTGTGTGTCTGTTTATTTGTACATATTGTGCCTTCGGCCCGGCATGCCTGGCCTTATCCCGTACTTGTCCCGTACCGTACCATCAAAGACAGCTGGCCATGGCCACTGTTCAGGGCAATACGGACAACCCAAGTCACGACCACACATCGAAAACTACTGCTCGCTTGAAGACTGTATAAAGTGTATTCACAAACAACAACAAATCTCAAAAACTCTGAAAAAGAAACTAAACAAAAAAGCCACGAGGTCCGCTCAGCACCTCGCGCACCAAGACCATCTAGGAAAATGGAGGCATCGCAGTTCGCCTTCAAGGAAACAGCAACTATTACAGCGAAGCGGTGAAAACTGCAAGAAAGCGAAAGCCATAGATCACGGACACAACGGAAAAGCCTGTACCAAAGAAAAGCGCATCGCTAGCCGCGCAGCATTGTACACACACAGCGCACAGTTCACTGTACATTTGGCAAAAAAACATAAAAGAAAATCAAGACTGTTCAAAGCGCAAAAAACACATGTTCAAGGAAATTCAAACGAAGAGAAAAGAGAGTAGAGAAGTTTAGAGAAGTACAAGAACGAAGAAATGGAGAAGAGAAACGTTCTTATGATGAAGAGTAGAGAGAAGAGCAGAGAGAAGAGAGAGACAGACTGGAAAGCAGTTCTACAGAAGACGTGAGAGAGAAGAAAGGTGAGAAAATAGACAGAACGAAAATAGCAAAGACAAAGTACACAACAAATTCAAAACAATGTCGATCTTGTTCACAAGTTCAACCATCAGGCAGGAACATTCTCCCCCCGGTAACAGGCATACTCACAAGCCTGATTACTAAGCTGCACTGCTGAGGACATTCAGGCGGCACAACTTGACTACTGGTCGGCGGAAGGTGCCGGTTGCCGTCTTCACGTCTGCAACTCGGACTTTCCCATCACGCCCGGGAAACACGGTAGTGACGAGACCTCTGGGCCAGGAGCCCCTCGGCAGCTGATCGTCCACGATGATTACTACATCCCCCACACTGATTTCTTGACCAACGCCACGCCACTTCTTGCGTGTGCCGAGGCTGGGGGCATACTCCTTCAGCCAACGTCGCCAGAACATGTCAGCTAGAATCTGCGATAGACGCCACTGCTTGCGACAACACAGGTCGCGCTCCGTAAACTCTCTGGGTGGCTGTACGCTACTAGATGTGCCGAGCAGAAAGTGGTTAGGTGTGAGGCTCTCCGGATCGTTGGGGTCCACTGGCACGTGAGTCAGTGGTCGGCTGTTGACGAGACTCTCTGCCTCAATCATGAGGGTCAACAATACCTCGTCCTTCGGAGCACGCTCATGCAGTATCACCCGCAAGGTGGACTTCACAGATCTAACCAGGCGCTCCCAGGCTCCACCCATGTGCGGAGCAGATGGCGGGTTGAAGCTCCACTCGATGCGAAGTAACGCCAGGTCGGTGGTGAGCTGGTCTTGGTCGAGGTCGTTCAGGGACTCACGCAGCTCTCGTTCTGCTCCTCGGAGGTTCGTTCCATTGTCAGACCAAATCTGACGAGGTCGACCACGCCTGCCGATCATCCTACGGATGGCCATGATGCAGGCATCCGTGGTCAGTGCATGTGCAACTTCCAAGTGCACAGCTCTCGTGCTCAGGCAGGTGAACAGCACACCATACCTCTTCTCGTGCCGACGTCCGACCGCCACCGTCATCGGTCCGAAGTAGTCCATGCCAACCACTGTAAAGGCTCGAACAAACGGTGTGAGACGAGTGCTCGGCAGGGGTGCCATCTCTGGCGCAGCTGGCTGTGCTCTGTCGTTGCTGCACTTCTGGCAAGTGTTCCAAGAACTTCGGACAGCTCGTCTCAGCCCCAAGATGAGATAGCGCTGCCGCAACTCATTGCACACACGCTCTTGCCCTTGATGACATGACGCAACATGATACCACGCAATCAGCAGCCGGGTGAAAGGGTGAATCGGATCGAGCACAACTGGCTGCTTGACCATGTCAGGCAGATCGGAGGAGTTGACCAGTCGGCTGTGGTGACGCACTACTCCATCAGTGAGCACAAGCGACAGATGTGACAAGCGGCTGTCCTTGTCCACGGGCTTCCCAGACTCGATGCTGCGAACTTCAGCAGGGAAACAGTCGGCTTGCACTTGCTGCCACCATAGACGCTCTGCACTCTCAAGCTCCTCAGGTACTAGCTCTCCTGGGGGTGGTGCTGATGTACGTAGCGCTCGGTGCTTCAAGATCTTGACGAAGCGGAGTACCCAAGCGGTTGCACGGACCAGTCTCATCCACGATGAGAAGCGACTAGAGTCAGGTAGCGCTGCATTCCGCACACACTCACTAGACACAGCTGTGGCTACGAACTCGCCTTTCAGCTCGATGCTGGGACTTGAGTCGGCTACTGCAGGCTTGACATCAAGCGGCCACTGCTCTGGCGGACTCTGCAGATACTCTGGGCCGGTCATCCATCTGCTGCCAAGTGTCAACTCGTCGCTGGCCAGACCACGCGTAGCGTCATCAGCAGGGTTATCCTTGGTGGGGACCCAGCGCCACTGACTGGGATCCGTCGTCTCAGCGATCTCACCAATCCTGTGGGCAACAAACGTCTTGTAAAGTCTGGCTTCTGACTTGATCCACAGCAGGACAGTACGCGAGTCGCTCCAGAACGTTGTGGAGCTGATCGGTAGATCAAGCTGCTTGGTGATTGTGTCTGCCAGACGTGTTCCCAGCACAGCAGCTTGCAGCTCAAGACGAGGAATACTGAGCGGCTTGAGCGGGGCGACGCAAGCCTTTGCTGCAACAAACGAAACGTGTACAGCACTACTCTTGCTGGTGGCTCTGATGTACGCTACAGCTGCGAATGCTTTTTCGCTAGCGTCGACAAACATGTGCAGCTCTAATCTCTCGGCGTCTGCTAGCGCAGGATGGTAGCACCGTGGCACCTGCAGCGACGCAACTTCATGCAGGCCGGCTTGCCACTTCGACCAGCGCTCAGCCATATCATGGGGCAGCTCATCGTCCCAGCCAAGGCCTGACCTCCATACGTCCTGCAGTAGTATCCTGGCGGTAACGGTGTACGCCATCAGGAAGCCAAGGGGATCGAACACCGACATCACGTAGCGCAGTACTGTCCGCTTGGTTGCCGAGACGCTGTCGGGCTGTGCTGATAGCTTTGCTCCAACGGCAAAGCTGAGACAGTCGCTGTTCGGGTTCCATATGAGGCCAAGTGCCTTCTCTGTGGAAGCGTTCCCGGTGGCGAGATTCACCACTTCAGATGAACGAAGTTGGGTGGGTATCCTCTCAAGAACCTGGGACGAGTTACTGACCCAGTTCCGGATCTCGAATCCTCCCCTCCGGTGAATCT